CCCGGTTTGCTCACCTTCCTTACTGGTGACAGCAGGGCTGCAGGGACAGAGCACGGTGCTTGCGGAACAGCCGGTGACACTCGCTTGCTGCTGGCCCTCCGCTGCTGGGGCCTTGGCATCAGTTACCGATGCGCCCGGGGGGACAGCTGGAGTTTCTAAGGCAAAGTGATCCTCTGAGTAACCCGAGAAGGCCCCAGTTACCAGGTGGACCAGCAGGAGGCTGGACAGCTTGGCCAGGGCCCAGAGCGGCCAGCCCCTGCTGCCTGGTCCTGGGGGTGAGCAGGGGTCCCCGGGGCAGGAATGGAGACTGACTGGAGCTGAGCCCTGATTCACAGAGCTTGGTGGGTGGATCGAGAGAATTCAACGGGGTTGTTTTGGGGTGAGGGTTGTCCCCAAGCCCAGGGCACTGATGAGGTTCAATAGGGCCTAGGGATTCCGTCCCCCAGAAAACACCACCGGAGCCCCACAGGCCAGGTTTTCTTGGCAGGGAACGGGAGAGCCAGGCCAGGAAAAAAAGGTCCAGATGGAAGAAAAGATTCTGATTTAAGTAATTTTGGAAATGGAGCCTGAAAAACTAAAGGCCAAATAGTGCACTCCAGTGGGTACAGCTGCTTCCGATGGGATACAGGTTGACAATTCTGGAATCACACCAGGCGTGCATCCTGGAATTGGACAATTAGGTAAGTGGATCGCGGGAGCCATGTTCTCTCTGTTGGGGTGGGAGGTTACCGCCACGCAGAGCAGGGAGGCGCGAATGATCCCTGGGGTCCTGGATTGGCGTCCTACACCTGCAGATGGGTGCATAGAGAACCATTTACAGAGATGTGCACGTCCACAGGTCAGTATCTGATCGCACGTTTGCTTACTCTGTCAGCAGCCAGGGCCTCAACTCAAGGACACCCAGCAGCAATGAGCCATCCAGTGCCACAGCTTGGTTTCCACATCGCTTCCCAAGGAGAGTTGGAGAAATGATGGATTCCAGGGCTTGAGCAGGAAACATACAAGATGAGCCTGGAGCATCTTCTAAGGCCAGAGAGTAGGGAAGTGCCACACACACACACACACACACACACAGTCAAAGGGGCACAGGAGCCAACCGAAAAGGCTCCCAAAGGCCAATGCTGCAACAAGCTGGGCAACAAAATACCTTAGTGTCGGATTATAACCCAAAGTATAAAGTAAGTCTCCACCCGTCCATCCTGACAGACAATTGATTAAATAAATGAGGAGAGGAGACACATCTCCGTGCAGAAGAATTCCAAATAATTTACAGAGCTACGGGAGCTGGAGCATGGCCCCACCCATAAGTGTGGGCTGCACCTGGGACTTCCTGCCCAGGGGGACAGGGAAGGGGTGGGGGAGGGAGTACGGTTACAGTGGACAAACCTGATAAACATGACCCCAGTCGGTGGTC